GACTGCTTGAGGCTGCTTCCAGAATATATTAATTACCCTACATGGGAGAGCACCCTTCCTTTTTTCCTGCTTCCTTTTTTAATACGAAGAAAATGAAAGAGATCCAAAATATATTGTATAAGATCCTCTAACCCTACAGGTATTTTTCCTGTGTTAATCACCACTCAGAAGAGGACACTTCCTTCCTCCCAGATCCCTTCTGTACTCTCCTCCACAAGGTGCCCCTGCTGTCTTCTGAGGATGATGTGCGTATGCCAAGGAAAGAGAGAGAGGAAATGAGACTCTGGCCTGTCGTGACCAACAGCCCATATTGGCTCTGTCCCAGGCTCTGGCAGAAGGGGATTAGAAGAGTCAGTGCCTCCCCAGAATTGGAAATCATTCTGGGAAGAAGATCTTTCTTTTTTTTGAAGTAAACCTAGTTCCTTTACCCTGTTTTCTTTCTTTCTCAGTATTATCTGCTATCAGACCTGTCATTGCCCTAAAATGAACTTAAATGTGTTGGGAAAGCCAACCACAAGCACCTGTAATAAGTCTCAAGTTGATATTTATGAATTTAACTTTTTCTCACCTGAGACTGCACAGTTTGTAGATGTTACTTATCTTAGAGTTATGCAGTGTTCAAACTTGGAAAATCTGTTCTTAACGATTCACTAGACCAATGCCTTCCCCTTTTCTTAACTGATAAATCTGAGACCTAAAGTCTCAAATGTGAAGAAGTAAAGTAACTAATATTCCTAGGGTTTCCAACACACCAAAAGTAAGCAGCAAGAGTCATAAAGGAAGTCCAAACTTCCTCTTACTGGATTCTATTGTGTCCCGTGTCGCTTTCTTAATAAATCTGTCTTGAAAGTTCTACTTGGCAGCACTAAAGATGGGCAAGAAAATGAGAAAAGTCAGTAAGCTCAAATCTCATCGCCTTTATTTACCCATTAACATTGCCACGTACTGTTGTGGTCTGGAGATGACAGTTGACTCTTGGGATTACTTCTGGTCTTTGATAGCAAATCCCAGACCTCTAAGTATGGGTGTCCCAGAGCTTGGTCATTTTCATTGCCAGCCATTTGAACCAGGTGGCATGACAATTCTTTATTCTTCTCCATTTTGCCTTGGTCTTCATTGCAGAATTCACATTATTCTGGGGTTTAGTGGTCTGCTGTGGAGTAAAGCCTGATTTAGAATTAGGCACTTGACCTTCAGTTACTGGGTTATTTTAGATGAGTCATTGAAATTTTTTAAGCCTAAGCCTTAGTCACTTCCACTGTAAAATGGGGATAATAATTTAACCACTTCCATAGGATCTTTACAGTGAATAAGCTCTTAAACTGGTATAGGATATAGTGAACAGATCACTAGCTATTACTGTTATCATTGTTAACTTGAAGAGTGGTGAGAATAAAAAGCCTACTTAAGCTGTCTGTTCAGAGCCTCAGAGTAAATGTCAATTTACTATTCAGCTCTAGCCACCTTGGCAGCAAACAATAATAAAAAATATAATGATTATAATTGGCATTGGATCAAGCTTTCCTAGTACAGTGCTTAGTGGTTTACCTTTAAGAGCCTTCCATTATTTTGGACATTGTATCTCCTGATTTTCTGTGTGTGAGTGCATGCACACCAAATTCAGGGAAAATATCCCATTAACAACACTGTAGTTTCATGAGTTCTTGTTGAATATGTGTTGAGTGAATAATCAAGAATGTACACATAGTTACATGAATATATAGATTCATATGACAGATCCAAACTATGTAAAGGATCAAGACTATTACGCTGTAATTTCCCTTTTCTGAGAGTCTCTTACCTTATTTAATAATAAACTTGTATGGCTTATGTTAGTACATTTTGTATATTATTTGAAGCATAGCTTTAATCTCTGGCATTCTTTTTCCCTGGTGAATATGTATATATCTGATACCATAGTTTAAATGTATACTATGAAATATTTCTTCTGTTCTGATTGGGGCTTCTTTGGGAAAGTAAATCAGGGCATTCTAAACTATGTGCAGATAGATGTTCAGAAAGCATGTGCAATGTACCTGCCCATGTCTCTGTGGATGAACAAAAGAGGGTGTGTGTGTAATTGATAGGTAATCATGAGTACCAAAGAGTAGAACTAAGATATTTTAGAAATCACAAAAAAGAATCTCAACATTCACTTCCCATGCTGCATTAATCCTCTCACCTTTTATCCTATGGTTGAATTCCACAAACTCCCCATACCTGGTGGGAGGCCTGAGCCAACACCCCCTCTCTCACCATTTTGTCATTCCGTATCACTCTGCCACTCAGAAGTAAGAGTGACACATGTTCCACCCACCACTCCATCAGAAATTCAAGGCAGCTGTGTCTCACAGCAGCTCTGGTGCTGAGAGTTAAGAAACCATCCCTCAGCATTCAGTAAGATTCCCATTTTCCAAGACTCCCTTCTATTGACCAAGAGCACAGAGGTTAACATGATGTCTACTTTCTTCAGTGTATGGTCCCAAGGGTCATAGCAGTTCCCAGCAGGGCATGGTCACCTTAAAGAATGGATGGAAAATATCCCCTTGCTATAATTGGGTTTGGCCCTGTGGCTTAACACTATCTTATTTGGCAGTCTTTTTCTCTTGACATATTTAGTAATCACTGTAAGGGAGATTTATTGCACTGCTCATGGGAACAAACAATGCACTAAATATTACACATATGCATGCTTTCAATACCACTCCTTTTCTAGTATATTCTGAATCTTTCCCAAAAGTCTTTTAACTCTTAGTCAAACCCCGAATTCTAGCTAGGAATTCTTTTCATCAACATTTACTAGGCAATGCTTAAAGAAGAATGAATGAAAACACTTCCACAGCTTAAAGCCCTTGAAAGATATTTACTGACGTTTAATCCCTAAACAAATTTAGCATATGATTAGAGTTGTGAAAAGAATATCCTAGGTATCTCTAGCACACTCTCTCTCTCTCTCTCTCTCTCTCTCTCTCTCTCTCTCTCTCTCTCTGTGTGTGTGTGTGTGTGTGTGTGTGTGTGTGTGTGTGTGTAAGATAAAAATATTTCAATCAAACATAATGCAGAAGGGGGTAGTGAGGTAGCTCAGCAGCACAAGCACCTGCCTGGCAAGCACAAGGTCTTGAGTTTGATCCCTGGGTCCAAAAAAATGCAATAAAGTGTTTTCTGAACCTACGAGTTGGCTTGGAGAGTCATGGGGGAAGGGAACGCTAAGAATTAGGATTCTCCATGCTAACTAAAGGACTCTGACAGCTGGTACACCTCAGACATTTTCAAAAAAGTGTGATATCCTTCTCATCCAGCCACATGCACAGCCTAGAACAGACTTGAGAGAAAGTATTTATTTTCAGTCGCATAAACACTAATGGGAGAGTCCACTCAGTGCTAGGCATAGTCCTATATATACTGCTTGACGTATCACTATACTACGTGTCTGCCACTGGCCTCAGTTTGCAGATGCACTACATTTTACACAGAGAAGGCAAAGCCACCATGGTGACAACTGACTAACAAGTTGAAACAGATGAATTAGGGACCAGTGCACCTGAAGCAGTCACCCAATGTCATTCTAAGACTGCCCTTAGCCCTACTGCCTCCCCCATCTGCATGACCTCTATAAGCCTCAGTTTTCTCCTCCATACAATGAATTGTTGAAAAGGTTGAAGGTGCAAAGCCCTGACACATGGTATAATTCACTAAAGCACTTTACTTCTCCCACTACTGCCTTGTTTTTTGTTAGTAGATTGTGTATATTTCTACTTATCTCAACTTGTAGGGTCAGGGTAGTAAAATCACAAATTCAGGCATTAGTTGCTGGCAGAAACTCTCATTCAGGGCCAAGGACTTAGCTCAGCAATGTAGCACCAACCTGACAAGTGCAAGGTCCTGAGTTCAATCCCAAGTACCAAAAAAAAAAAAAAAAAAAAAAAACCTACGGTCAGATGCTGGCATTACTCAAGATATATAATGAAGGGCTAGGAGCACAGTTTTGGAATCATAACCCACTCTGCCTCTTACAGTGTGTGATCTTGGGAAAGTGACTTGACTTCTTGGTGTTTCAGTTTCCTCATCTGTAAGACGAGACTAGTACTCATACCTACTTTGTTCTAAGGATTGAATGAGCTGATCTGTATAAAGGATGCAGAACTATACCTGGCATGTAATAGGGACTGTTAAGTTAGTGCTGTTACTATTCTCATTGCACTTTGGTAGCAAGGGCACAATAGCTGGGCAGTATCAAGTTTGACATGGGACAGGGTGTGTAGAATAAATCTCACTGTGCTCTTCAGCATGACAGCCATGTTGCGCAGTCCTACAGGCTCTTACAGATACAGATCCCTTCCCATATATGCAGACAAGGAGTGGTAGATAATACAAAGACTCTCGTGATCAACCTTTGTCATTAAGGTAGAGAGTAATGGCATGACGAGACTGTCTAGCTACCCTGCAAATTGGCAGCAAGATACTGGCCAGAGAGGATCTCCTCATTCGAAATTGTATCTCAGTTCACATTTTCCATCATATTTTTAAGAGGAAGATAGAACAAGGGACCTAGATAAGATTTTAAAACAGTGTAGAACAATTGGGTCACAAATAAAGAACATGTAAAAATAATTCTGGGGCTTTAATGCAGTATTTCTTAAACTTTAACTGGAATCAAAATCCCCTGGAGGGTCTGTGGAAAGCCTGATTCCTAGGATTTACCTCTGAGATACTGGTTTCCTAGGTCTGAGATAGGATCTGGGAATTTTCATTTCTGACAAGCACTTGGGTTGTACTGATGCTGCTGGTTCAGAGCCACAATGTGAAAACCACTATTCAAATGTTTATTTTGCATCTTTACTGCCCATTTCTGATTTAAGGTTATAGCCTTTCATTTGAACTCTTTGACTTAGTGATGAATGAATGAATAAATGATTATGAGGGGGTATCTATAGAGCTAATGTCACTTATTGATGTCTAATTTTTGGTAACAAACACTGACTCTCACTTTCTTCCCATAGTTGCATGCTGCTGTCACCAAGATCCAGGTTCCAAGGCCTGGTTTTAATTACACGTTTGCCCACATATGTATCCTGAATAATGATAAGACTTGCATCGTGGATGACATAGTACACGTTCTGGAAGAGCTAAAGAATGCTCGGGCCACCAATCGGACCAATTTTGCTATCACTTACCCGATCACTCACTTAAAGGACGGGAGGGCCGTGTATAATGGGCACCAGCTTGGAGGCGTCACTGTGCACAGCAAGGATCGGGTGAAATCAGCAGAAGCCATTCAGCTTACCTACTACCTACAGTCAATCAACAGTCTCAATGACATGGTGGCTGAGAGGTGGGAGTCCAGCTTCTGCGACACTGTCAGACTATTCCAGAAATCCAACAACAAAATCAAAATGTACCCTTACACATCCTCATCATTGAGGGAAGATTTCCAGAAGACCAGTCGTGTGTCAGAACGTTACCTGGTCACCAGCCTGATCCTGGTGGTTACCATGGCCATTCTCTGCTGCTCTATGCAGGACTGCGTCCGCAGCAAACCTTGGCTAGGCCTCCTCGGGTTGGTAACCATAAGCCTAGCCACTCTCACCGCGGCTGGAATCATCAATCTTACTGGTGGGAAGTACAATTCCACTTTCCTAGGAGTTCCTTTCGTCATGCTAGGTAATTACTGCCTTTCATTTGTTTCTTTTCTTCTATTAGTGGTGGTAACTGGGTTTCTAAAAGGCCAGGAATACCAATCTAACAACTTTGTTTCATTTGTAGTGTCTTCATTTTGCCCAAAAGGCCTGGGACCAGTTCTACAAAGTGCTGGTCATTGACAAGAAGCAACATAATCTGGTAAATATGCCAGAAATCCAAAGACTCGCATTAACCCTAGTTCTCCATGAAGTAGCTAAATGCATTTAGCATGTATTAATCTCCTCTTAATTAATCCCAGTATCAGTGTAGGAATGAAGAAATGAGAAAGGAAGGGAGACAGTTTTTAGTATATTAATGTTCAACTAATTTCAGGGTACCTGGGGCTCAGTCCCAATTGAGACATTTGGGAGAACATACCTCAGGGGGGACCTCCCTGAAGGCTTATGAAGCTGCGCTATTTACTCAGAAACCCCAGATGCGATTTTTTGATGGCTTCTCCCCAGGGAAGTTAAGTTCTAAGTGCTTCCAAGGAAGACCGAACATACTCCTGCAGCCAGAGAAAGCCACCAGCTGACTGTGGTAAGGAGTACTCAGTGAGCTCAAGAATGGTACATGAGTGGTCATACAAGTTAGGCACTGACAGTATCTGCTACCCTGAGTCTCCTCACTGTATAGATAGGGTGCATGTGAATATCACACAAAAAGACATGGTAATGTATAAGAACTTTGAAAGCAACACGTGACACAGCAGTAGGAAGCTTCCTTCCCTGTTCTTGCTAAAACTGACCGTGATGCTATGCTCCCAATGTATTGGCTTTTGGAAATACAGAAATTCTCTGACAGAGATAATGGTCAAAACAAAGCCACAGTGGTCATAACGCTAGTTGCTGTGTCCATCTGGTATTGAAGATGACACACTCAGAAAGCCTGATGGCAGACTTTCTGTGGGCCAAGGATTCAAGCAGTTAACTTTCCCCTTTTGGCATGGCAACTACTCAATTCCTTTAGCAAAATTAAAATGTCATTTGGAATAAGATATTAACATTATAAATGAAGTGGCAGTTTTTGTTGACTAGGAAATCACCATGGTTGAGTTCATTAGTATGCCTGATGCCCTGTGGGGAAAAAAAGAATTTCCTCCAGAAATTTCAGCTGCATTATAGTTAAATAAGCAGGGCTGGTGAGGCTTTAAGGCCACAGAATCACATTCCGGCTTTGATGCTCTGCAGCCTGTAAGAACTGAGACCTAGTCATAAACACATACTAGTAGCTTTTGTGAAAAGTGGGGCACTGTGGGGAGACTCTGCTAGATCTGTTCACTTGACATCCCGAAAACAACAGAGAAGGGGCCCTGATGTACTCTGAACTTCCCCCTAAGTTCAGTCCATTAAGATAGCATAACTTGCTTCTTTAAAATAGCCCCAAGACGATGTGGGTCAGTTGTGGAATACAGTACAGTTCCTTGAAGAATGAGTAGGGCCATTAGTAGCTTCTATGGAGGTTTGAGTCAAGCAAGGTTTAAATTAGTAAGATGTTTTGCTCATGATTAGTCACATGCTTGAGTGGTTAGAAAGTGTTTTGTTTTGTTTTTTTTTTTCTTTTTTTTTAGGTTTTCATTTTAAAAATAGTGTCCTTTGTTTTTGCAGGAGGAAGATAAACAGGAATAAGAAAAGGGTGTAGAACTGAAGGGAGGTAGTAAAGTGTTAAGGTTAAGGAAAAAAAGATGTCAAAGCTAGAAAAAAAAACTATTGGTGCTGACCTTATTACATTCCATGGTTGTTATCAGTGAGCTCAACGCATGTCCTTGTATTTAAAGCTTCTTAACAATGAATTTTAGTAAGTAAAATAAAATTGCAATTTTGAGAGCTTCTTAAAACTAATTTTAAGTAAACTAAAATAGTGATGTTCAAAACTTCTTGAAGTTCATTAAGTAAAATGAAATTAAACATTCAAAATGTAAAAGTAATATTACAAAATAAAATAAGTTACAAAGAACTTATATTTGTACTTTTTAAAAGGAGTTTTAAATATTGTAAGTAAAAGTCAATGCAATAGCAAGTATGTCACATGTCAAACCAGTAGGAAGGCATGGTTTTTTCCTGTTTTTGCTATGAACTCAGACAAATATTTAGAAGTAACATGGATGGCATGTTTTCAGTGTATTAACTATTGGAGTTCTCAGGAATTCCTGAACAGAACACTGGTCAAAACAAAACCAAACCACCCATACCATTAGTTGCTCTATCTGGTAGTATTAGTGGAGGGAAGGATCTAAGAGATGATAGGATGGAAATACATTGTTAGCAGGTGAGTGTCTTTAAAAACCAAGTCCAGAAATAGTAATTCCACAACTCCACAAAGACTATCACTGAACTTTACGTTACATTTCAACTCTGAAAAAGCAGATATTTGCAGAGAAAGAGAATAAGGACTGCAGGTGCCCAATACTCCCTTGTTTGCAATTTATGAGGAATCTTCCATGCATTGATTTGATAGGAGTTTTCCCTGCTGAAAATCAGTGTGCAACCTTTCTGTACATTTTCAGCCCAAAAAGTTCTCAGATTCCTTAGTCACAACACGAAAGGAAGCTACACATTTTAGTAGCTAAGACTCATTTGCAATAAACACTTTGCATGATTTAATGAGTGCTTAAATATGCTCACAAAGCTACCAAAGTCAGGATTTAAGATGATTACTCTTATGGATTTCTTAGATAAATTCTTCATTCTTAGAGTACGATTATAAAACAAATTATAAGAGAAGGTATGTAAATATTGTATTCAAGTCCAATGTTTAATTCTACTTTTGTTGCTGATCAGTCTTAAGATAACAATAAGTTTTTCAATAACCAAGAAAAAATACAATGCTAAGGGTTTTTTACTACAATGCATTGCCCATTGCTTAAATTTGCCTACCCAAAACAAAATGGCTGTGCTTAATCTAAACACATTTAGGCAAAACTTCTTAATTTAGTATATTGTATAAATATCAAATAAATACAAATACATATAGCTTCATTTTCAAAAAAAACTATCCAAGAAAAAAGCCTCAAATAGACATTTCTTTAGCTGTCAGTAGGTCTATAATGTGATAAATATTATAGATTTAAAATTCAACAAACCAAACATTCTCAGTGTGATGCTAGTCACATAAGCCCAGATCCAGCCAAATGCCAAAATGGCAATAGATTTAGAATGGAAAAATTTTAAGACCATGTGTTTCAAGCAGTATTAACCTGACAAAATTCCAGAAGAGGAATGAATGTGGATAAACTCTTAAGAGCTCACCATAATGGGATGTGTTTGTGTATTTCTAGCCAAGATGCTATGTGACATCTCTGGCAATAAGAATATATCCTATATGGATGAATCATTTTGGCAATGATGTAAGCATAGATACATCATGATTTAGAATGTTTTTAATCCATGTCGTGCATACTAGACAATCTCACTTCTGCCAAAACCTCTGTCCAGATGAGTCAGATTGGTTTATTTAGAACTAAAATCCTAAAAGGTCTGCAGTATTATAAATCCTCATTGACATTTTTTAGTTACTACAATTTGGAAAAGAACTTATTTAATCTACACCTCTTTTTGTGCATAAAATAATAACTTTTCTTTCCAAACTATATTGATATCAGGTAGTGAGGTACTTGAAGTGTCATTTGTAAACATGACATTCATCATTTTAATCTATTATGGAATTCCCTTTAAAGGAGGAAGATTTACATCATTGTTCTCCAGTTGGATATGATTTAACAGATTGGCATGAGTTTTGTGTGTGCAAGCTCTTACAAAGCTTAATATTTCTACAGCTTTGCTGATCAGACACAAATCAAGAAAGATAAAATGTTGGGAAATATAGAAGGAAGGCTTTCTTCTTTGTATATACAGAAAGTTTGTTCTTTCACATGCACTCTGTGCTACTAAAAGGAGAGAATTGAAGTCATTCTGATAGTTTGAGTATCAGTTTCTATGTGGTAAAGTAACTATATGAGATAATTTATCAAGATACAAGAGCTCGAGATTAGATGAGATCAAAAATACTCTTCAAGCCCTATTTCAAATGTCTGGAAATTTTGAGGAAGTCAAACGTCAAACCCAAGGGGCTCTTTTTCCTTCTGAATTATCCAAGCAGGCCACTCAGATTCAAGGATGCAAAAGGAAGGAGGGATTTGGATTAAATGCTAGGAGAAGAATAAAAGCAGAGAAATTTGGGGTCTTTCCACTGTAAGTTATGTTATTCATATTTTTATCAGAGACCAGATTGGTTTTAATTATCCAAGAATTTGTTTACATATAATGCCACTTATAATGTAGAGAATGGAACTTATAAAAAGAGATGGGGCAAAGTTCCTGTGCAAAAAAATTTAATTCAAACTGAAAAGTTGGAACTCCAAATTATTTTCACTTAGACTTATGCAAATATCAATGATTTTCAAAATTCTTGTATATAGCATTCCTAAAGTGATGAAAAACATTGGGGGGAATAACCAGATAATAATAAAGTTTAAACACTATGAAGTTGCCAGTATCTAACATTTTTGACCTAGGAAATTGGTACCAATCTCCAATCATTTTTTAACTACAAAAACAGTAGTTTCATATGATTAAACCTAATATATTATTGCGGAAATCTCACTATTTGCAACAATATGACAATCTATGTGACAGAGTTGCAGTATATTAGAGTAATATGGAAATATTCAGCCTAAATATAAATCAGTAAAACATTTCAGTAGTTTCTAGAAGGGTTTTATTCACATTTTTATGTATGCATCTGGTTTAAATTGAGAGTAATTCCACACAATATTTCCAAGGTTTGTTTCCTATCTTTGTAATGGCCCTTGGTTGTATGGGACTAGTTTACAAGATTTTATAATCTAGTTTTGTGATTACTTCTCATCCTTTTATTCTTATGCTCTACCAATCATATTATGATGAGGAGTGAATGGGGAAAATAAGTTTGGGGAAATAGGACATAACAGGTTCATAGTTCTGTTCCTAACTATAATCTAAAAT